AGGGGGTTTGGGTTTCTTGTGAATCCTGGTCAGACTCTGGAAAACAGAACCAAACCTCAGAACCAAAAATTCCTTCAAGAGTTTTCAACATTTCTGCTAATGCTGAGTTCCAGGGTCTGGTTTACGTTGGGAAACCTTGACTCCTGGCTCCAAAGGGTTCAATTAGTCAAAATGGTTGGCAGATGGAAAAAATCATTAAGTTCCATCCAGTGTTTTGAACAATAAAAATAGACTCAAGACACAATGGCCTTACCTTGAACTTTGCAGGCCAGCGTCACATTATGATAAAGAGAGAGTCAGCTCTCAGAAGCTGGATTATCTACCAGCATATGGACAGAGTGGGAAGCTGGGCTGCGAGGGGGACAGGCACCAGAACCTTGCAGGCTGAGCACATGATTATTAGTTTAATGATTTTTAGCCCAGGTCCAAGATGCAAATTCTGGCAATGAGAAATAACTCGACATGGATATTATGAGATTACCAAAACCTCACGATAGTAGTAATAACAATAATCATCTGTTATTTGAAGAGACGCTGAAATTCATGGAAATTTTAAAATATTATTCTTAGAAATCTTTCTCCTGAATGCTTTGTCTTTCCTGAAAATGACAGAAAAGCAGATAGATAACACTTTTGTCAAACAAATTTTTTTTCATTTTATGTTTAAATACAGACTTAGGTGCCCAACTTTAAGAACTTGAGTTTGAAAATACAATTTTGGACCAGAAACATTACCTGTTCCATAATTTGACATCAAAATTATTTTTACTTCAACTATCCCATAAGATAGGTGGAAGAAGGAATTATACCTGGCATTACACACCTGATCATTCTGAAAAAACGAATATATTCACAAAAAAAAAAAAAAGCAGCATGTAGGGTAAATTTTCAAATTGGGAAGTGTGGCTTACTACACAAATGATTTATTACAAAATAAGCTCTAGTGAAAATTTTATGTCCAAAGCAATGTTTTGGATAATAAATTATATCTTACAAACAATAAAAAGTGGACAGATTCTCCACCACTGTCAATGACAGCACCTGGCAGTGCAGGGCACATGGGCTTGGAGATTAATGTCTAAGTTTAGAATGAAATTCCCAACTGGTGGGAATTACTAGGGCACAACAGAGGTTCTAGACTGTAATATTAATAAAGTTTCCCAGAAAGTGTGAAAGCTCCACATATCCACACTTGCACATACACTTTTACATCTGCTCTTGGCTGTCACTCAGTGCTGGATGCAACTGGATACTTAACATCTAAAGAGATAGAGAAATAAATTGCACAGCTCTCCATGCAAGTCTGATCAAGCTTGGAAAGGTGAGGTAAGTCTGCTTCCTATTGCTCACGTCATTCCTTCTATTCCCTAAACCTCTACCAGGTATGATTGCCATCTCTTCCCCTCTCCCACATCCCTTCTCCGAGGCTGCCCTGCCCCTCAGGGGCTGTGGCCCCCATTGCCACTCCACGGTTCTCAGTGGTAGCAGGGCTTTGCTGCGTGTTTGAGTGGCATTGTGGATCCAGGATGAGGCCAGGAGTACATGGGGTGGCTCCTGATGTGATATCATGAAGTGTTTTGGCAGTGCCACTGTGGTTGGACCATGTAACTGGTGCCACAATGCCAGCATTTTAAAGAAGTGATGTTCACGTGTTTGCAATTGCTCTGATGGTTTGGGCTCCTCTGATCATGCAGCAGATGGCCTCCACCTTTATCTTCCTGGAGTGTCCTGTGTTTATTTGTGATGGTAGTCCAGAAAAACCACTGAATCTGTCCCAAATCATACGGTATTTAGAGGGATAAAGATGTTGAACTAAGCCTGGGAATCATTAGGTGGCTGCCTTGGAGCCAAGCTGTTTGGACAGGGCTCAGTTCCACAGCTGGCAGAAGACGGAGAATCTTTTTCTCCTTCAACTGCTGAGACTGTCAGCAGCAAACTTGCAGAACCACCTCCCAGCTCTTGGGGGTTTGTGGGGTGGTGAAGTGGATGTCTTGTTTGGTGAACTCTAAAGACATCTTGCTGCTTTGTGTGTGTTAGGGGCTGTCTTTAAATTTGGAGCCTGTTCTCTATTGTTTTATGGTTTAGATCAGAGTACTGGATCTGGCTGACAGTCTCTTTGGGATAACAGTGGTGGATCCTGGTTTTTAAAGTAGGATGTAGCATGGGCGGAGGGTCTCAAGAGGCAGAATTTTTCCTGTGAATCATAATATAAGTTCACTGTACCTGAACATCCAAGTGAACATTTAGAACCCTGATTTCTCTAATCTCTCAAGGTCCAAGCTTCCTGGGTCCAGCCTGTCCCAAAGCACATGCTTCTGACTTGACACAGTGCTCCTAGAGGACAGGAAAAATCAATGTATACCATTGCATTAAACCCAGGGAGGATTAGCAGAAAGGATGTGCTAATGAATTCCACGTGAATATGCTGCAGCAGACCAGCGTTACAAAGCACAGAAATAATTTGGTAGAAAATCTGCCTGGTTTTCTTTCCAGCTCAGACTGATGGCCAAGCCTTCTGTTACTCAGAGCCAGGGCTATTTCCTGCGATGCCGGTGGCATCACCAGGGTGGTGTGAGGTGTGGTACCCAGCCCAGCATGGGCAGAGCTGGTGCTGCACAGATCAGAGCAGGCAGCACATCTTGATGTCTGCTGCGACTCATGGGGTGAAGGCTTTGATGTAGGTCCAGGGCCTGGCCCTGTGATGCAAGTTGCACTGTGAAACCTGCTTTTCAGGGAGCACATCCGCAGCCATGGGATCTTTAGAAACAGAATCTTGTCCATCAGGAAGCCTGTACCAGTGATCAATCCTCAGGACTTCCTGAAGAGGAGTTCCTTGTCCTAGATTTGACACTTGTATCCCTCCCCCTCCTGGGAAGCTCAGGCCTGTCTCATGCTCTTACATGAGTAACCAGAGCAAAGGCTTTGGGTTTTGCTTCTGGCTCAAATGCTCTTCAGTTTCAGCATCAGTGCTCCCATAGAAAATGCTAAACACCTTTCTCTGTGATGTTCTGTAATTCAGTTTGGTTGTAATACCTGAAAACCTCTGTGTTTTCACAAGCAGAGCAGCTATGCAAACTGGTTAAGAGAAACCAGTGTAATAATTTTTCTACTTTTTCACCTCACTTTTACTTCTTTTCACTAGCCTGGCTCTAGCTCTTCTCTTTGGCAGCACTACCAGTTTCCCTCCCGTGCCCACGTGCCTGTGCACACACACAGGCTCGGGCAGATGCTTGTAACCTGACTTCACAATTCACTCCTCTCCCAATTGTAAGAAAAAGAGGGAAGGAAGAACGAAAGTGTTACACAGGGGAGTGAGGCAAAAATAGAAATCCAAGGATATGGTGGTTGCAAGGAATGCCCAGAAATTTCCTTCTGGAGTCTCTTTTAATCATCTCTCATACTTTGCTTCAATGCTTTTCTTTCAGCTGCTCAGGCCAGGTTGCTTGGTAGACTTTTGCTGCCAAATGCTATTATAACCAATCTGCTCTGATCTTTAGCCAAATCTTAGGAAAGAAGTGGGTGTGCTGAAGCTTTGGTGAGGGAACTCTTTACCATTGCTGGAATGGTAAACATGACTGTGCAGATGAGAGCTGCTGGAGCAGGGCTGCAGTGCTACCATGGAGTCTGGGTTTAGCTGCTGCTGTGAAGGAAAGAGCAGCCCTGAATGTCTAGAATGTACAACTGTTTCAGCTAAAACCACCCAGATATTAGCATAAAACACAGATAACATCAACAACATCCTTTAAAGTGCTGGGTACCTGAGACAACCATCTAGGTTTTGCTGACGTGTCCCTGGGCTGTGCTGACTAAGGGCAGATCCCCAGCAGGAATAACTGAGGCTGCACTGAAACTCGTGCCCATGCTGTCCTGGAGAGGAATCATCAAGCAGGAGCAGAAAGGGCTCCTCTTGGATGGTCAAGGCTGCATCTCCCCGCTTCAGGGCTCAGGGTGGGCTTCACAGCTGTGCCTGGCCAGCTCTGGATAAGGGCAAATGAGTGGCTGGAGTGTGAGGAGGGACAGAGCTGGGAACACAGAGCCTTTATGAACTCATCCTCTATGGCATGTTAAAGAAGGGCTGAAACACCATACAGCATTTAAACATCCTAATTTCTGCAAGACCTGGCTCTATAGTAATTATTAAAAGGAATGTCTAAACAAAAGAACAAAAAACCTCCAACGTGCTATTCACAAACGCAATGAGCTCGTTGGTTCCCAGAGCTTACACTGACTCCATGCTGTACATCTGTAATAAAAGTGTCTCTATTTGCTTAGCAGATGCACTGGAGTCATGGAGAGTTCAAATTTACCATACCCATCGAGGTGCAAATCCCAAATTTCGTTTAGCATTGTCCCGTTGGTAAGGACGTTACACGCGGGTCAGGATTCTATCTCCCCCCAAACCCTTTAAATGTGTTTATTCATTTTGTTTATTTTCATTTCCCAGTTTCCACATGTCGCTCAGTCAGATTTTCTGTTAGCAAGACTGAGAGACGAATAACATATGTTACCCCACAACTGACCTTGAAGGGGAACTGAAGAAACCATCTTCCCTAGGGCTGAGATGCAATTCAGACACGAGCTTGCTCCGCAGAGGTCTTTTCCTGAAAAGACACTGCCAACTGAGTCGTAAGCCCTGGAAACATTTCTGCCTGCATCGATAGCAAAGCGTGAAGTATGTACCAGGGGGATGTTGAGGATTTAGCCTTCTGTGCCATTCCTCCCTCGGCTCTCATAAGCAAAGCAAACAAATTCTTTGTGTCTTAGAAGAATCGGATAATTCAGCCGACTTGAGTCGTTTCCTTGCAGGCCTGGCTTTTCACCTGGGAGACTAGGTTTGCTGATCCTACCCAGGTTAAAATGACTGAAAATCAATGTGGTTTGACAGCTGGGGGAAAAAAAATAAATAAATGGATGTACAAACTGTTGAGCAACAAAGGCTCTTCAAGTGGATACAAAGTGAGGCACAGAAAGAAACTGTTGTCTGTGATCTTCCTTACAGACTCTTGATTCATGGAGGTCTGGCCAGTTCCAGCCCCTTCTGATGGGGTTGGTCTGACACTTCTGTGGCTTTCCACTTCCTCACATGCTCTGCTCAGGAAGAAGACACAGGCAGGCCCTTCACCTCTCCCCTGTCCTTGGGTGGCTGAGCTGGGAACGTCAAACAGAGGGTGAGTATGTCTGTGTTGCCTTAGCCTGATGTTGCAGTCAGGTTTGGTGACACCCACTGCCCCACTGCTGAGCTTCCTTTGCCTTTGAAACAGCAAAATAGGGGAGTCCTTATCCATGGAGTCACCTCCTGAGGACATCCTGTGAGATGGTGACACTGTGAGATGAAGGTGGGGTGAGAGCCTGTGCAGAACTGGCAGTAACACCAAGGCTGCTGGTTAGACCCACTCGCATTTCTCTCTTGGACAAATGATCCAGAGCAAGGCCTGGAAAAGCAAATCTAGGTTTAGCTGGGTGTCAGTTAGCTTGTCACATGGCTCCCACAGGCCAGCTGGATGCTCAGAAGTTGCTGAATTTGGAGCCCTCCATGCTGGAGGCTCCACCTCTACCTGTCACCCCCCATAGACATCAGCTTTCCTGGTTCTGCCACCTGGCATCAGCCTCAGGAGCTCATATAATTTCCCCCCTTTTTTTTCCAGTATCACTTCTTTCCTTGGGGAACGTGATCACTCTGTTTCCTAGAGCAATTTTGAATTGAATTACATCTTTGAAGTGTTTGGACAATGTTCTCAGGCATATAGTGTGATTTTTGGGGCTGTCCTTTGCAGGGCCAGGAGTTGGACTTGGTGATCCTTGTGGGTCCACTCCAGCTCAGGATATTCTGAGGTTCTGTGGTTTGCCCTGAGGGTCAGGCAGTTTGGGAAGGGGCAGTGTTTGTGAGCAGGGATCAGAGCCTTCCTTGTTAGCTTATTGTCACCCTCCGATGCAATCCCAGATCAATGCTGAATTACAGCACAGAGGAGAGATAAATGTTACATTCATCATGAATTGCCAGTTCTGACACACAGGAACACTAAACACGTACCTAGACAAAATCCTAAAGTCGTGCCAATTGGAATCCAAAAACCTGCCACACCAGTTATCACTTAGTAACAACTTCATATAATTTTCCCCAAGTAATTAAAATGTCTTTCCTGAGCCAAAAATGAAAATTTCTTTACAACAGGCAATTCTTATGTAAAACTACTTTTCTCTTTCGTTTCTGTCAGTTTAATGTAAATTTTTAGCTGTATTTGGAGAAATCCATTTTGGGAGTTATGACATTTCTTATCTTAGTACTGTGGTTGGGGGGAAGGAGGGAAGTTAACTGTGTACTTAGATTTCAGTGGTATCAGCTGAAGTGCTAGGTTCAGGAAATGTTTCCACAGGTTTATGGATACTGCCTATGGCTGACATGGGATACAGGCAAAGTGTCACAAGTGAAGCTTTCAGAAATGTTTGTTAATGCCTATGGCAGCCCAGCAGTACCTCCTGTTCTGACATCTGTTTTAAGGAGAGGTGAACAGGGTCATGTACACATTTTCTTCATATTTTCTTTCTGTGGGTGCTGGTTTCGACTGCTTTCACTCTTTTCAGCTCACCCAGCGGTGCTCAGCAGCTCCTGGGAGATCTGGAGCTTTCGATGGCCATCACCTTCTTCCAATCTGGTGTTTGTTTATCCTCCCCTTGTTCCTTTTCCCCTTCACCTTCTCCCCAAAAACTGTATTTCAGTTCAGGAACCACTTTTGGAAATGTGGGTTCCTGTGATCTCTCAGATGTGCCAATGGGCTCACTGGCATTACAGGTCAGGATTTCTGTCACCACCCTAAAAATGGCCTTACTGGCAAAGGAACAAAGCTCAGAAAATAACATTTTAAACCTGTCAAGTCTGATTTACAGAAAGCTCCTATGATCTAGAAAAGCAACAAGCAATGATTACGTTCTGCTACACCCTAATTTTAATTATAAAAAATGCTAGTATAGTTTTCCAGTTGCCATCCCTGTAAAGGAAATAAGTAGACTCGGAGTAAATCTTCCAAATAAACATATTTCTCAGACATAAACATGATAAATCTTTTCTTTTGAGAAAGATATAAAGAATGGTTAACTTAAAATATGCATATAATAACATATTACCCACAGCTTCTCATGTTTAAAAAGATTCCATATGCTGGGAAAACCCATAAAATAAAACCCAAGAAATGCTGCATCCTCTTTGTATTAATTTGAAACAGTCACTTAATGGGAAAAAGGAAAAGAAAGAAAAAATAAAGAAAACTGGTGGAACAGAATTATTTTATTTTTTCTTAGAAAATCCCAAACAAATCAGTAACTCCAGCATTCCAATCTCTTCATCCTGTTTTTAGTGGTGTATTAATATGTAAACTCAATACTTCTGTTGAAAAATAGCTTTGGGTAAGGAAAAATGGTAGCAAATTCCAGGGTGGCCTTACTAGCATTTTTGATTGAAAAAACTTGGAAAAATGTTGTTGTTTTAGGATGATGAGAAGTGCTGCCATCTCTTGTGGTTTACCCAGGATTGTCCCAAGTTTGACTGTTGTCTCTGGTTTGGTTTAAAACCTAAAAAGGGGCTAGTAACTGTAGCTCCCTCTATCCCACTAAATTCCCTATTCTTGCCCCATGTATAATAAGTAATTGATTTTAAAGTAGTCTCACTGAAGAAGCTTTCTGTTAAAGTACCATGGATAAAACAGTCTGCTTTTCTTATTCTTTTTTTTTTAAGAGGAATTTATCTCTCTAGAAAGGTTTGTTCCATATGACTGTGAGCTGCAGAGCTGGGGTAGTGGGAGTTAGTACATAGATTTGGAACCAGAGGACCTGGGCTCTGGGCTGATTTTTCCCTTAACTTGGTTTACGACTTGGAGAAAATCATTTGTGTTTCACTTGATTGTGTTTGTGATTCCCCCTATTTCATCAGATATTTTCACATGGAGAACACTTGGTATACAGATGCTGGTTGCTCCCTGGCAGGAGCTTCCAAAACTGTTCCTCCAAGGAACAGAGCAGAGTCCAAGACTTTCAAGACCTTTCCAGACATTCACGTGGAGATGATGACTGTCCTGTTTCATATCACAGCCCAATGGTCAGGGCCCTTCCTCACAGACCAGCTTTTCAACTGCCTGCCTTCAGTTTGGGATTATTCCCAGTTCTCACACATCACTGTCCTGTGAACCTCTTGATCATGATCAGTTGTGGATGCCCCATTCCTGGAAGTGTTTCAAGGCCAGATTGGATGGGGCCCTGAGCATGCTGGTCCAGTGGAAGGTGTCCCTGCCCATAGTGGGGAGGTCAGAACTAGATGATCTTTAAGGTTCCTTCCAACCCAAACAATTCTGCAATTTTGTGCTATTTGAGCTTTTGGCTTTGCAAGGGGTTGAGGCTCCCACCCAGCTGCAAATTCAGAACTCCTCATGCCCCAGAGAGGCCACGAGCATGAGCAAAGCTGGGGACACGCCAGGCAGGGAAGCTGGAGCTCTGCCCTAGGAGAAGCAGCAGCACGCACACCCTGTGCTCAGCACCTGCAATTAAATGAGGGGGGGTGTTTAACCAGTCCCATGACAGCCTGACAGGTGCTTTCCCAACCTGGGCACCCCAATTCCCTCTCTGTGCCCCCTGATGGGGGTCACCTCTGGCCACAGTGCAGGGGGTTAAAGAGGTCTCCAGCCAGGGCTCCAGCTGTGTGCACCGGCTGCGTGGGGAGCTGGGCTGGGCCAGCTGTGAGTTCAGCTCTTCCCCTTGGTCAGCTAGAAAAGGGCTGTGTCTCCTGCACTGGGATTAGTGCTGGGGGGAGGTGGGTTTTTATAGTAGGAAAGGAGGTGGAAAAAAATCGCGTTTGACTGATTCCTCGTTTGTGCAGTGTCTGGGGAGGGTCCGGGCTGTGCAAAAGCTGTCCTGAGAGGGGCTCTCTTGGCAGCAGGGTTAAGAAAAGCCTGACCCACTGACTTCTTCACTTAACTTCTAGACTGGGGAGATGCTTGCTTAGCCCAAAAGCTTGGGTGAGGCAGTCAGCTGGAGTTCAAGATCCAGGGACTTAATGTCCCATGACTGAATGTAGCTTGTTTGACCTGTAGTGCAGATCTTGAGAGTAGGGAGCAGAAGTATTTTTATGGTATGTGCTGAGCCTGCTCTCCCTGACTCAAACACCTCCTGGAAAATGAATAATTGAACATACATGTGACTATGTAGAACCCCTTCTTCAAACAGAACCTGAAAAGGGGGAAGAATATCTTCCAACTTCATAGGCTAACTGCACAGGACCGGCCATAAAATCTAAAGGGGCACAGTTCTATAGCAGGGAACAGGCTTTTCAGCCCACATATCTGAGCAGTGGCCTTCAACTCTGACTTCTTTAAGCTAAGCAGTGAGGTGGTTTTCTGCCTTCAAACTGAGCTGGAGTAGAAGGAAAAAACAAATTAATTCTGATTTTTTTTATTTTTTTTCTAAATTTTATTTGCCAAGCCACACTGCTCCCCGCTAAAATCAAGAGATGTTACTGTTGGCACAGCGGGTTTAAACTCACTACTGGGTTTTGCATGTTTTAATAAAGGAAGAAACTGATTGAATGAGATTGTCTATTAGTTGCATTAGATCAGCAGTTTCTTCTTTGTAGTGATGCAACAGATTGTTTGCCGAATAATACAGTAAGAATAGACTCAGCATGCAAACCCTGTAAACTGTCTGAAGAAAAAGCTGTGTCCTTTTTTTCCCCAATTGTTTCCAAGCCAGTAGCTGCTTCTAATATCCCTGTATCCAGTGCAAGCCCAGTGTTGTCTATAAAACACATCTACTATTTTTCAAGAGCTGTAATTGTTAGGAGAGAGGGATGGTTAGGAAAGGAGGGTGGGCACAACATAGGAGGGCTGGTCATGTGAGGAACTCCCTGGGCTGCATTTTGGGGCAACTTGGCTCTGCTGCATCCTTCTCCTGTGACTTTGGGAAAGTCTCTTAATCTGCTGTCTCAGTTCCACACAGGTGTAATAAGAGGAACCATTTTGTCTCTTCTGTGCAGTATGTACTGGGTTAATGCCTACTTTGTATTAAATACATGCATGTAGTAGGTACTAAGGTGGTAAAGCAAGAATCAATTCTGTAAAGACTTGTGTGATGCCCAGGACACTGGAAAAGCAAAACCCAGATTAATTCTGTCTTTCTAGTTCTTGACAATTTTTGTTGTATGCTGAATTTAAGTAGATGCTTATTTTTAGCCTGTACATTAGAGGGCAAGGGAATGAAAGGGGAGGATCTCCCACACCAAGCATTTTGTTTTCAATATAAATACATGTCGCATAATATTATGGACAAATAAGGGGTTCTTACCACTCATAAGGTGTTATGGTAATCCTTCATGGAGTCCTTTTAATGAATAAACCAGGGATGCTTCATAAGTTGTTTATTAAGGGTTAATGATGTATCTTCTCTCTTTGGCATCATTCCCAGCCTAAATCAAGCCTGCTTCATCTCATATGGATATGAAAGACAAACTGTACAGATTGAAAACATCTGTATACTGAGTGAATGAACCACATGGCAGCAGTGTCATGCAGAGATTTACTTAAAACTGTCCCCTTTTGTTTGACTTTAGAGGAACAGCACAAATAAATACAGTAGGTTCTGTTTAAACAAAGAGGACTCTGATCAATAGAGGTTTGTATAGCTTACGACCTTCAACTATAAACAAAAAATTGGGGTAAACCCCACATGTCTCAGGTCAATTGCCATCTTATTTACTTTATTACGCCACTAATGTTCTAATCTGTCTTGCATATAAAATGCCTTTTACAAGCCATCTTGCTCTGCTTCTCCATTTTCACCAGAGATAAAAGGGAAGGCTGTGTTTGATTCAGATCAACCTGTGAGTGTGGGTATGAGTGTGCCGTGAATTCAGAGGATCGGCGTAAGCAGGGAACGCAGACAAACCAGCTCAGGCAAATTTCAAGTTCCAGCAAATTTTGGTTGAGATTTCCAACAGCTTTTGGTGCTTTCTGAGGGGGTTCAACCATCCACAAAGAAAAGCAAAATGGTTTGTGGCTCACCATAGCCAGACCTGGGCACAGAAACAGGACAGAGGCAGTGCTATACAGAAAGTTGTTGCTCTGTTCTGGCTGCGAGCAGAGGTTATCCCTTGAAAACACTTGTGAGTTTCTGCTAGGGACTGACCCTGGCTGTGAGTCTTTATTATTATTATTTTTGTTACTCTCTCCCAGCAAGATTAAGTAATTCCAAATACTGAGGGGATGACATTCCTGCGTGTGTTCTGCCCTCGTATCTGCAAATAGCTAACTTGAATTGTAATTACTTTCTTTTCTGGAACATTTTCTCATTTTCTAGAGGGGAGAGACTATTATTTTAATCTTTTTCTGTCCATTTTTTATCTTCCTTGGCTAACTTTTAATCCTTTTGGTCAATTTTAACATAAGACAAAAAAGAGGAAAATGTGCCTATCCTGGTTTATGAAAATAAGACAGAGAGGAAGAAGGGAAATACCCCAATCAAACCTTCCCCTTTGAATGAATCTGCAGCAGGAGCCTTCATGAGACAGCAGAGGAGCCAGTGAAGACACAAAAAACCAGGAGAACCCAGATTTATTAGCCTTGCTGCTCAGTTATTCAGATGTTTTTCTTTACTGAGAACATTCCTGTTCCCATTGACTCCAACATTTTCAACTTCAGTGTTATCTGCACTAATCTAGGAAATACTTCACTGCTGCTTCAACTGCTTTTTCTTGTGGAATTCGAATACTTCGGGGGGCAATGAAGGGGTAAGTCCCACTGGGCATGTGCCTTTCCTCAGAACTTCAGGAGATCTGGAGAGATATTTCTGGATGTTGTTTGGTTTTGAATTTATGTAATTTTTTTATTTTTTTTTTGGTTAAACTGAAAAGAGCAGCCAGACTGCTTGCCTATCTGCGTTCTCATTCCACTAGCCAGGTGACTTTTGATCCGCGAAGCAGCGTCTCAGCCGCCTACCTCACTGGAAGAAAATCTTCCAGGCGTTTAGGTTTTGCAACTGAACAGTTGTGTGTGCTTGTCTTGCTTCCAGCATTTCCTCACAGTCCCCACTTAGACCCAGAAACTAGAGCTGCAAGTTCTAGTCTCAGCAGTAACGTCTCCCCCATCATTAAATAATTGAGTTAGTCCCGCAATCTTGAGCCCAGCAGCCTGTGAGACACTACCTCATAGCTGGTGGGTCGCTGGCAGCAGGGTTGACAAAACCCTTCGGGGATGGCTAGTGGAGGCTCTTTCCTGGCAGGTCCCAGCTTGGTTTGTTAGGTCAGTGGGGAGACAGCCGGGGCTCACCACGCCACGCCCGCGCCAAGCCACACCGGCCAAGATTGGTTATGTTTTGGCTGTGCCTTCCAGCACACGGGGTTAGAAATACTGAAGAAGAGGCTGTGGTCCTTCGTTGAATAAGGGAAGGAAATTTAGGTATTGGAGGCCTCGGGAGATGCTGTTTTGCTGCCCTCTAGGCAAAGATTAAAGCTTAAAATGTGGAAACGACAGAAAATGCTGTCCTGAGCACACCGAAGCAAAGTAAAGGGGTTGGGAAGGTTGAAAGGCTTTTCATGGGACTTCATTAAGGTGTGAGTACAAAATCTGTAAAAAGATCTCTGTGCTCAGATTACGAAGATCCAGTGGTGTACAACAAAGAATAATCAGTAAAGGCATCATAATTACAAAGTTCTTTTATATTAAAATGATGTCATGTAATAGGTTGAAGAGCAAGAAATAAATAAGCTGTGCAGATCTCCTTTATCTAAATAATTGTTTTCTTATGCGTTAGGCTGAAAACTTCTCATATAATTTCTGTCCTTTAATGGTAAAAATATATTCAATTAAGACTATGAAACTATTTTAACATTTCAGTAGTAGCTTCAACAGGAGGATCCCAGAGTGCATCAGTGAAATGCAAATTTGAGGGAACCATGGAAATAGAGACCAGGACACAGAACAAGGACTTAATAGGGAATGTGTCACCACAGGGCTCTGTGGCAAATATATAACCTCATTTTTGTAAGAACTATTGTATGGAGATTCAGATTTTTTAAACTAAAATACATAATTGTATGACTTCAAGTGTTGAGTATTCTCTTACAGAACTGTTCCTTGAGGATAAATCTTCATTTCTCTCATGTGAAGAACTATGCCGAGATCTGCCCGTGGAAAATTACATTCTAGGAGCAAGAATCACAAAGGACCTTTGCTTTCAGACTTTTCTTTAAGAGGTCCACAGCATAATGAGCAAACTGGAATGAAGTGTATTAACCTTTGAAAGATGAAAGGTAATCAGGACTGAACCAATGCTCCCCGTGGTTAGACCACAAGCTCTTATGAAAGCTTTATGATCAGTCTGCGTGTGTATCTCAACAGTTCCTAGGGAGACATTTCCATAGGTCATATGTTATTGGATAAAAAAAAAAAAAAGTTGATCCTGAAGTGTTAAAGTCTCATCTTCTAAACCAAAACAGATACAGTGACCTTAGGAACAATTGGCTCTTGACTGCTACCCACACAATGCAGAAAATGTTAAGGAGGTGGAAAATGAGCTCAAGTTTCTAGTTTCCATTATTTGTGAATCAACACATTATTGTATTGTGAATGTTTGCTTCTCTTCTGTCTTTGTAAGCAAAAGATCAAATTATTTTCTTAGTTTATCAGGATGGAAGGAATGTTTTGGAGGTAATTTGGAGAATACCACAAGGAAATAGTCTTTTCAGCAGGGCTTCAGTGGTTTCTGTGCCAGACTAGGGCACTGAGGCAGGTTTCCTGAGAGCTGCAGGAGTGCTGTGAGCTGTGTGACCTTCCTCTGTTTGCTCGGGGTGAGGGCACATCTCCATGCTGCTGTTGGATCTTTTTATCTGCTTATGCCATTGGTGACCATGACCCCCTTCTTTCTCATCTGGGCTTGAGACTGATCTGCTTGAACTACTGAGCTGCATTAGATCTCGTTTGACTCACTGTGTTTCCTTGGCTGCCAGGATTGGGAATCCCCTTCCCTTCAGCAGTGCTTACCTTGGGCGACAGTTGGTGAGCAGCTGTCCTTTCTCTCCTGGTGTTATCTACACAAGAGCCATCTACGTCATTTTTAGTGTTTGTAAGCTTTTCAGAGCTTTCAGTTTGTGCACAGTCTTGGAATGTACTTCTCATTCCCTGCATTTTTCTGAAAACAGGACGTTAAAATATGCTCTTTGTAGCTGGATTCGTACATACTTATATTTAATTTCTCCTGTGGCTTAGGCACTTTGTTTCGGGGGCAGTATGGATGTATGACTGTGATCTGGTGAATCAGAAGTGCACTTCAAGAGCAGGAACAAGTTAGGAATTATGACTGTTCTTCACTGAAGAGAAGATAGATGTTTAATGAATGCACAGTTGTAAAAAAATTTGTATAGCAAGAATGACATTAAACCACTTTTGGAGTGTCTGGGAGGATGTAGATGGCTCCTGGGGAAAGGATACACGATACACCTCTGAGATGCTGGAATGTAATAATTTTCTCCAGAGGGTCCTCTCAACATATACTTTTCCTAGGCACTGGGGTTCGAAATTAATTCCCAGCAGAAGTGTGGAAATAAGCAAAGAAAGAAAAACATTCAGGGAGAGCTGCTGGAAATGCAGAAGAGTAAATAGTCAGTCTTCTCACAACTCCATAATCTCCATTCAAAAAATGTCTCCTCAAGCAACAAAGTCTGTATTTTAATAGATATGCTACCAGCAAACAGGCAGTCCTTATGAGCCCAAACTCACTGCCACAGCCACGGTTTTTAATCAGGAGAGTCTCTGTGGAAATACATGGAGAACAGAAGAGGCTTCCTTGGGGCACAAGCATTGGGATTGTACCCTCAGAGGCTGAATTCCCTCCACCTGAAGAGGTGACAGTCCCCAAACACACAGGAGCAACTCTTTGGCTTCTTGAGATACCTTTAGACTTTCCCTCAAGCCCTTGCTGTGCTGGGGTCTGCATCAGCATTTGGGGTATTTCCAGATTTAAGGTGTGCAAGAAATTTCTCCCTTATCCTTTCCCCAGACCCTCGTGGGCTGATTTCATTGCTAATGATCTCATAGTGACTAGACTTTAAATGCTGGGAAGGATAAGTTTAAGTAAAGGAAAAAGAAAAAACCAACAGAAAATGCAGTATCTCTCAGGAATGGTGGAGGCCTTGCTGCTGGCAGGTAAAGGCAATGGCACACATTGCTTGGTTTTTTGGCTCCTCTAGTTGGTTTAAAATTTCAGCAAGGGGTTATTGCAATGATGAGACAGTTCAGTCCAAATTGCTTTTACCCTGAGAAAGAGCTGTTTATCTGTTTGGAAGAGGAGGACTCATCAGTGCTGGAAAGATTTCATATACCTGGATCTCAGGATCTCGTTCCCCTCAGCTGCTGGAACATGAAACCTTCCAGCTGCCTCTCACCACACTTTGCTCAGAGAAGAGAAAATATTACGAATGAATGTTTCTAAATCCCTCATTCAGTGTACTGAGGGCCAGAGCCTGAAGTAAGACTCCTGATAAATATGGGGATCCAAATCTGGCCCTCTGAGAGCTATCATCTATTACATTCGAGCAAAGAGCGGCCTGATGTTAAGATCTGACTGCTCATTGCAAAGCTTATTTTGTTACATCAGCAGGCCACAAGGTTCAATAAACTATGTGGCCTTTATCCATTCCATATGTACTGGCTGCCTCCTGTAGTTTCTATGTATTTACCCTGTATATGAGCTTTAAGGGAATCTGATGCCTTTAGACAGTAGAAATGCAGATAATTCTCCAGTTTGTAAAACCCCATTTAAATTTGATTCTGCATCAATAGATAATGCCAGTAATTGCAATTTTTGTTTTCGAGATACAGGCTTCCAGAGGGGCCTGTGACTCAGAGGATTTTATAGGCATTGAAATTTGATGGATTAATTGTTAATAAAAGTTAGATTGGGTAAGTGAATACAAACATCATACTGAGTTTAGTATTTACATTGGCTCTGAAACCTTTTTAAAGGGCAGTTTTGGACTGAGATGCCTCACAGAATTTTTGAGTTTTGCTCCTAGAAAGTTATTTAACTGGAAAACAATTCCCACTGACAACACCAAAGTTTTCATCTTTTTTTTGGGGGGGAGCGGGGTTGGTTTGTTGGATTTTTTTGCATCATATTATCACTATCTCCTATCAGGATCTCATTGTACAATAGTGACCTCTGATGTAAAGGAATCAGGAGTGCCACTTGCAAACCCTATCATACAGCCTTACTGAGCTATTATGAGCCTATTCAGCAACAACCAAACAGCTTAGAAGGAAAGGGGCATGTGTGCATGTGTGCACACCCACACGTACACACACAGACAGCTGAAAAGCTGGTGATAAAATAAAATTGAAGACCACAACACTGAAGGATCTGGAGCTGTTAATTTTTATAGCCAATACAGATACTAATATTTTATGAGGTTTGGAACTATCAGTGTAAAAAAAGTAATATCTAACCTTACCCTTTTTGTTTTAATACAAAGATAAAACTATCAGTGGAATAGAGCAGCATTATGGTTAATAGACCTGCTCTTTATGGACAGACCTATCGTCCTGTTTCCTTTTGTCAATATTTATAAAAGCAGAAGGACATTTGTGCCTGCTCCTATCCAAAATCCGTGTGTTGGTTTCTTTAAAGAAGCATCTCTTCTGCTCACTTATATCTCGTTTCAGTTAAATAGCAGAGTTGGACTGTTTGCCAGTTTTATTTTTATAAAACCTTGCCAGTTTTATGTGTTGTAGTTGGTGAAATGACTCCCTTTGCATCAATGCAAACTCTGAAGTGACGCCGGGAAATTGGATAAGAGACTTTTGCCTGCAGAATTTACATGACAGTGAACATCTGGACTCTCCAAAAATGCTATCTCTTTGCTCTAGGGATGCACAGGAGTTGTCTCATTTGAGTGTTCTCCATCATTATTTCAGAGGGTTACAGCTACCCCAGAGGGATCACTGTTGGGCCAGCTGGGCATCTTTGCAAAGGGCACAAGATAGTCCTTGAGGTCAGTGGAATGAGTTGCAACAGGATGGAAGAGAAACTGGGGAGAACCCTGGTCCCAGGTGGTGTGAGATATCTATGTCTATGACCCTTTATAATAAATAATAAATTTTATATCTTATGAGTAATAACAGAAACATTTATTTCTGTATCTTACTCGATACATAAGACATAATACTTTGTAGAAGTGTGATATTGTCTTCCTGATTCTCTCAGTAAGATGAGGTTTTATTTTTTGTGTAGAGCAACCTATTTATTTATGTGTAGAGCGATCTCAGAGGCAGGATGCTGAACTGGTACTTGAGTGATCCACCTTCTGCTATCATAAAATTTCAGACTTCCTCTGTGACTTTATTTACCCCTTATGACTGTTTGACAGCCTTTATAAATATGAAAAACTTTTTTTTTGTTCCACAGGAATGTTATATGTCAAGACACAATAATTTGTGAAGTTTTCAAGTTGTCAAGTGACAAAGATCATGCAAACTGTCCTATGGGTAAGTTCAGAGTCCTGGAAAATGCTGCTAATTCTGAGTTGGTTGCAATACACTAAAACTTGTTGTGATCACAAGGACACACCACAATCTAAGCTCTGAATCTGCCCTTGTATGAGCTTCCCCTTTATGTTTTCTTACAGGATTTCATCAAAACTGCTAAAAGCCTAAGAAAAAAAATATTATGAAACAATAACTGTTAAAACTTTCAGTAGAATAATCCCCGTTTTCCAGCTTCTGGAAAAGGAAAATCAGAGTTTTCCACAGTCTTTGCAATCCCAGTGCAAACGTTTTAGGAAAACACGTATGTTTAGGAAGTACTTTGATGACATGTAAGGTTGAGTGACTTCTTCAATATATTGGAAGAAAGATGTGTATGCTTTGTAATCTGAGTCCTGGCCAGGCATCAAGCTTCCCATAAGGCATTCTGTCCTAGCAGCAGCCAAGAGACCTGATACTAATAATGCTCCAAGAATTCAAGGTGTTCGTTAATATTCAGCTATAATGAATGCAGCATGTGTTTTTGAATAAACTACATGCTTGAATGAGGACCTCTCATTCAAGAAGGTGAGGTACATAGTGGAGTGATTAGACTTGGCAAAAAGCAGTTGTTTGGTTGGAATGACACCGGCCGGATAATTGTCAATGCTCACGGCGCCGCTCCTCCAGCGTCACTCGCGGGAGGAAGAAGCTGAGCTGCTTGGATGTCCCCAGCCATGCTACACTGGTAAATCCCAAGGGAATTCTGTGACTGGGAAGTCCCTGAAGGTTGGCACAAATCTGCTTTGCGTTACAGCGTGGTTGTTTCAGGCTTAGTGCATGTTCAGCTGAACGCTGAGCCTTTTTTCACTCTGTTTGATTCGATAAAATTTTACTCACTTCCAGTAAGCTGGAAGTGCCTCGGCCTTCTAGAGACTGTTTGTTTGAGCTTCAGAGGAGAATGAACTTCAGTTGTACCAGATCAGCTGAGTAACCCACACAAGCAATGCAAAACTTTGAATTTATTACAGAAGAACAGGGGGAGAGGAATAGAACCGAAGCATTTGTTCTTGTGAGACCTAAAATTCCACCAGCCTCAAAGAGGCCTTCAGTCTTCAAAGCAAGCAGGATCTGTTCCCCAGTAACCATTTAGATCCAGCTGCATATTTCCAATGGTGAACACACAAGGGAGGTACTTCCATCCTGATATGTGCAGGTTTTGGGCCAAAATGTCTTCAGTTGCTCAATGGGATGTTTGGGTGGAGGCCCTCATTTCCATACTGTTGAAGAGAAGAGATGATCTTCATACAAGGAAGTGAGATGTTCTAATACTCTTATCTTACTTTACATAACTCCAGATGTTAATCATCAAAAAAAAAAAAAAAAGATCCAGCCCTTTTTAATATTAGGAAATGATATGATAAGGCTTGACTTAATTTTTCAGTTTTCACTTGATAAACCTTAACTTTGAGATGCCGCAGGAGGTGGATTCACTGGACTTCTCTGTAACCTCCAAATGTAATTGCATCAGCCTAAGTGTATGTATTCATCTTTTCTCATTGTAAAGTATCTTTGCATTAAATTTAGAGTAGAAGTTCTTAAAGAATTAATTGGGAGAAGGTATTTGGTTCTCTTGTTAGGAGGAAGAAGGTAATGTTTTTAAGAAGTAGCAGTCTGGAAGAATAATCAAAATATATTCATAGCATTTAGCAGTAGTTTAATGAGTTTTCAGCTTTTCCATTTCCAGTCAACTAACTTCATCAAAACTCCTAAAAAGTGATTTGAAGCGATTATTTGTTTCTGAAATTAGTGTGGAGGGAATTTTCAAAGTGAAATAATTTTTTTTTAAAGTATGACTGTATATAAAGTTGCTTACGGTTCTGCTTTCCACACCCTATAAATAATAGTAATAATGATTGAAAATAACAAAATCTTCCCACTCAGACCAATTTACTGCAATTTTCTTTTCACTGTGCTATTCAGTTTGTTTAATCTTTGCGCTATCTCTGAATTGCCTCTGGATTTCAGACACATGTATGCAGATAATTAGCACGGATGCAGATATTACACAAGAGGGTCAGGGTTATCAGATACAGGCATGTCTAATCCGTCGGTGATTTACAGTTTCTTTTTAAATTTCCACTTTCTAATAGCAGTAGGAATTTTTCAGAGGACTTACTCCTGGTCTCCCATCTCCAACTGGAGCAAGAAGATCTCACGAGGTGGGAGCTAAATGCAGAATGAGCACTTGAGGGAAGGCTCCGATCTGCGTGCCACACCTCTGCCCTCTCTTGTATACAACGAAAAACCCGTCAGTGTTATTGTAAATCACGATGTCCCAGCCCAGAAAAAAACATATTTTGCACCTCATCTGGTCTAAATATTGAGTTTACGAGTGAATGTTGCTTTGCATTATGTGTTATAGATGCTTTATGTTTATTTAAGAACTCAGTTTGCAGGAATGTTTTCCAGACGTGCGGTTTACCGCAATAGACAGTTGTTGATATTCTGATCCCAAGAGCATTAGAATATGTTTAGAAATTGCGACACTTTTAAAACCAGATGTTCTACATAAGCTACACAAAAAATGGGGGTGGGGGAACAAATAGAACTGTCATTTGGCATGAAAACAGCCTGTGTTAAAGCAAAGGCAAACACATACCAAGTGAAATAAACGTGGTGAACTGCCCTCAACCCTTTCCTCCTTTTGTAAGTAACTATTTTAACAAAAGATGGAAAATCCCATCTCCCAGATGGTGTGGGAAGGGAGAAGGGAGGCTTTCAGGTTCAGGTTTGCATCAGAAGGAAGCTGCTGGATCTTGTTCCTGGGATGGATCAAACCAGGATGACAGAACTAGGCAACTTCAAGCAAGAAAATAATGTAAATCTGGATTCAAAGCCCAACCCAGAAATTAATTTTCTGTGTGTTTCTAAAGGTAAATGATTCTCACCGAGGAAACAAAGTTATGCCCTGCATGGTGAATGGCCACAGAAGGTTCTTACCAACAGCCAGAAGCTGGTGGCACATCCTGCCCTGTCCTCCAGGATGATTTGGTGGAGGCTTTTCTGTAAACAGGTGGGGGATCATCCTGCACCAGGTACTGTCTCAGGGACTGAAGTGTCTCAAAATAGCCCTGCTCTGGGTCTCTGGTGGGAAAGCATGGTTGGGCAGCAGAACAATCTGGACTCACAGCCGTCATCAGCTGATGATAAACTGTCTCTTTCCATTCAATCTGTTGCTGATTTTTTCTTCTGACTTTGAATTCTTTCCCTTGTTTATTATAAAGCAGAAGGCGAAAGAGTTTCAGATACACCAACCTTAAAGAAGTTGACTAGAGTCATATTACTCTGAATTATTTTTCCCCTCCTATCAAAAGTTAACATGCATTAGGGTAATCAGTGATAACACTACAGGTTGGGACCCATAATAAAAGTAAGGTCAACTGGCAACCAAAAGAAAAGATAACCAAGGCACCTCTCCTTTTCTCTACAGCAGCATCCCACAGTGATGGAAACATGTTATCAGCAAGTCTGGAGGAATTTGCTCAAAATATGTTGTTTTAAGTAACTAAAGCAGTGCATGTGTTTGCCCAAAGGTTGAAAATGTTGTATTTGTAGTATAAAAGTAATGTGATGTCAGACAAACAACCTTGTTCAAAAGCAGTTAAAGGAATGCTGTGAGGAAAAGTGCTGGGCAAACATGGGTTTGCCAGCAGCTTTCCTCAGCACTGAGGATCAGAGCTGCTTGGACCCTGCTGTATCTCTTCCAAGCTGTAGCAAAGCTACTCTGCACATGGATGCTGCATTTCAGCACTTTGCTCAGCCGCAGAGGAATAAGCTCATTTATGAATCTGTGGTTCATGGGAAGGAAATTTACTTACATTAGTAAAAGGACTGAAGTGCCCTACCAGCTCAGTCACCCTGCCTTCATGGAACAGGAGGCTCCTGCTGCCTTCAGTGGATATTGGACCAGTTTGTTAGTCCAGCTTCAAAGAATTAATGCAGTAGTAGGATCTGCCCACTGACTCATTCTGCTCCTCATGAGTACCTGAAAAGCCAGCTCTGAAACTCTTACTAGCTCTGCCTCACCAAAGACAATTTATGGCGGAAGTTCATGTACATATTTATTTTGTTGCTAAAGAGTTTGCTGGCATACTTCAAAGTGTGGGCTATTACCTGTTCAGGTTTATTGCCTGCTCGAGTGAATTATTGCCTACCTGAACAGGCCTGCTGAGCAATAGTTCAAATTAAAACGTGTCATTTATCATGTTCACACCAATCCAAAATGACCGCAAAACCCAAGGTGTAATTATTGCCAGGCTATGACTGCGGAGCTATCGTAGCAGGCTCTCAACTAGTGGGAAATACTGGTTCCCCTCTTTGAAGGAAATCTACTTCCTTCTTCATAATGAACAAATATGACCCTACCATTAACATAATATTGTTTCAAATGCTGATATGCACCACGGAAACCAACTTACAAATATGGGGGAAGAATGTGACATGGATTCTGTCCAAGATTATTTTTTCTGCAAACTGCAATTTTAGACCCAATGTTTTTCACTAAAATTTATTCTAAACAGGTCTTGTTCTTCTGAACAATATCCAGAAAGGAGGTTGTCGCACAGGCTGGAATGATGGTGCTATTTTTATTGTTGCCGTTATTGTTTTTGCTACTACTATTGTTGTTTACCCCAATTCAGAAAAATAAACAACAGCAGGGTCTCAGTACCAGTGTGGGCTGTGAATGCTTCAATGTGCCTACAGCTGTAGTAAACCAAGCCTGTACATCCATGTTCTGCTCCATCCTCTTCCTGTTGCCTCCTGTGTCATCTTTTTATTTTCTTTGATATATCCCAGGGTTTGTGTTCCATTTTAGCCTAAAACTTGTAGAGTTGCAGCTGCCTATGGTATGTATATGACAGCAGTGAAGAACAGCAATATATATAGTGTGCTGTTCCCTCACATCCCTCCTCAACCCTTCCTGGCTCATCTAGGGTTTTTGAGCTTTTCCTGGATAATGTAAAGCTCCTGAAGTAAAAGAAAAATAAACCTTTTGGTCTATGTCTATACTGAAGCACTACAAATGTATATTGTAAAGCTTTCTCTTTTTTACCCCTTTCATTGTTGTAGGACATGAAAGGGCAGGGAATAATCAGACGAGTACAAAATAGAAAGCAAACATCAGAAGTATTTGCTTTAATGAAAGCATGTTGTGATAAGGTATTTTTGTTTGTGCAAGCTTGTAAGTGTAAGTACAGGGAAAAGAGGGGGAATAAACTCCAAAATGTGGCTTTAGGCTGATCAGAAAACTCCTCTGGGATGCAATTTCATGTACCCTGGGATTGAAGATGGACCAACACTGCAACATGTAGTCAGGCTGGCCATAATTCATATGCAGACCTGGTTCTGAGCATCCTGATTCCTGCCTCACTTCTCTGTGAACCATTCCAGGTCCCTGCAACTAAACACTTCCTGAATTATGGAGTTTGCATTCTGATCTGAATTTTGCAACTGAAGCCTACCTGTGGTTATACAGTCAGACAGAAAAGCCAACAAGCCAAGAGCAACGCCTAGTCACTGACTTTGATCTAGAAATAGTTATTATCCAGCTATCTCCATTACAAAACATCCACTTTGCTAAACCTGGGTTATCTTCTGATTTGGCTTCATTTGATAGGCAAGAGCAGGTCTAGCATGGGAGAGCTTCACATCTCGAAACGATGCATCTTTCAGAAAACTGATAAGTGATAAACCTTGCAAAACCCGTGAGTAGGAAATGACGTTTCTGTCCACCTCCCAACTCTGTCTCTGTCCCACTGTCAGCCTTTGCAGATGAGATGGAAAAGTGAGTGAATTGATGCTTTGCCCTACAAAGCTGACACTCATCAGTGGGCAACAAGAGGAAACACACTACTAATGACAACTCCACCAGTGAGGTTATACAGAGGAGTTCAGTTCTCAAGCTGTAAGCTTATGCAGATTCTTCATGAGGGTAAACGACTGATTTTTAAACTATTTCTTTGAATTTCTGTTTCTTGGAAGCATAGTAGGAAGTTACTTAGAAAGGAAGTCACTCTGAATTCTCTTCTTTTCGCTCCAGATTAGAAGAAGCTCTGCTTTCTCTGAAGAGTGAATTTGGGTCACAATGTAGTAGCATTCAGTCCTCACATGCTGAATTACTTGCTGAACATGTGGTAGTATTTTGTGACATGGTCTGTGGACTGGGAAGTAGGCTGAGCTCACCCAACCCATTTCATTTATGGCTTTACACAAGTAAATAAGTATGTTTTCAGCCACTCAACACAAGAATGGCTTGCAAATTGCAACCGCCATTGCCTGGCAGGTCAAAGGTTAAACTTTTCAACAGGTCAGACTACAGTGCTAATTCACCTCAGTAGTGAGTCCCAGGCAGCCTGTAATGCATATTTGTGGTGGTTGTGTTTGTATAGCATGCACATAAAATGAAAACCGTATGACAGAGGTTAGTCCTCTTAAATGGTTGTCACATTGGCTTGGGTTACTTTCGTACAGTTATCCTTATGCTAGCCAAGATTCTGGTGGTATTTTCGTATAAATTTTATTGACGTGGTGAACTAAATTGGGTAATTTCATAGCTATTATAATGAGCCAGTGGCCCGAGAAATGCACTGCTTTGTTCGTCATGAAAATGTTGCTAACTGGTCTGGCCAGGTTCAGCTTCTAGTGGCGGCCCTCTTCCAAATGTGGAAAACCTCTTTTTCTGACATAGAGGGTTCAGACAATCCTTGTGTGCTTGGTCCATACTGAGTGCCACTGCTGTGGGCTGAGGGCTCAGCCCCTGTCGCCAGATGTATTTCCTGAATGTTACACAAACAAGGAGCCTTGTGAGAGCTTCTTGAGTTCAGTTCACAGCTGCCAAAGCTTGGACTAAGGCCTGGATTAAATGAAATGTCTAAATTAGGAGCCTAAATTAGGCATATAAACTCCCTTATATATTCAGCTGGGAGAGATAGGCACTCCCAGAGACACCCTGGGGAAATGCAATTGTCCTCTGTGGGTTTCTGTCCAGCCATTGGCTCTACAAGGAGCACAAGGTAACAAATATCCTGATGCAGGCATCTTAGTTGGGCACATGTAGTGCTGTGGATCTGCACCTGGATAGCTGCACAGCATGGCAAAAAGTCACCTCAAATTGCTTCTTCAAAGGGATTATATTCTTATATGACCTCGTGTACTACGTGGTGGACATTACAGGCAGACATAATCCCATGGATATTGTTGCCAATGTCAGGTCAGCGAGCCAAAGGTCTGTGTGTCTGAATGACAAAAAGAAATCATTTACTGTCTTTTCTTGGCAGAGAAGTATTAAAATTTCCTCCTCCACAAAGCAGGAAGAGTGGACACAGCCCTGGACTTCCTCTCCCAGATCCTTCCTGACCAAGATGCCCTGGTCCAAGGGAGGAGCTGTGACCTCCAAAGACCGTGTCTTGGCACATCAGGACATACTCATGTGCATAGCACACGTTCGTTGTTCTGCTGCAAAACAGGTAAATTAAAAAACTTACCATAATAGGCCAATTTTAGATGATTTCTCCTGAAAGGTGAAGTAGCAAATAGAAAAGAAACGTGTGCGTGCACATAGAGGAGACAACTGAGGTGTTTTGGGAAGCTCCCAATTCCAATGCCCAGAGTTCCTCTACATCCCTGAGAAAATAAAATGAGTGCTCCCCATCTTTGGTGAAATGGTTGATGGAGCTGGCAATAGCACTCCAGTTTAACACTGACTATAAATGATGCTTACATTTCAACAGCATTTTTTAATAATATTTTTCATAAGTATAAGCTAAAGGAGTTACTTTCCACCAGGGTCATGGAGAGTTCACTAAATGCTGATAGACTGTATTCTGCATTAATGGTGCTAAGCTAACTGCCTCACAGAACTACCAAAGCCCTTTATTTAAAGAAATAGCACTGTATTTCATAAGAAAATATTTTTAAAGCTTTCCCTACTGATATTTTTTTCTAAAGAGAGGGAGGTCTAATTATTTATACTGAATCTGAAAGGCCCAGCATTGGATGTGTTCAGTAAGATACACCTTTATTTGAATATACATTTAGAGCAGCATGCAACACAGATGATTAATAGATTTTGTTTTCTTTTTATTTAACAGAATATCAGCCATTAGCTTCTGCAGCTAATTATTGGATTTCATAACTGGCTCTTCAGAAACAGCTACAAGGATTTGGTTGAGCCTTTTTACTGAGCTCTGGGTAAGGGTTTCCATGCAGCAAGAGAAGAATCACTGTATGGGTCACAGTTTCTTCTCTTCAGAAAAGCAAGGAATCCTCAGCTCACCTGTGTCAGTTCACCTATAGCAGCAAGCCAGTGACAGAGCTGGGACTTAACCCTTGACATGGGACATTTGTTTATCAGACCGGGAGCTGGGGACTCATATCTGGCTGTACCTAAGATTTGTACTCCCTTGCATGGGTAAAGCAAGTCAAAAACCGACCTGGCTGGTGCTTGTGCAAATTCCATAGTGGTGGTGGCTTGAAAAGTGGGGTACTAGTTAGAAACCAGTTCTTGTTACAGTCACGAATGTGAAGAGACCTTAAAGCAAAATTACTGGGAAAGTGGTGTAGGTTAGACGATGAAAGAATCACTAGGAATAGCTTCTCCCTACCAAGGCAGTGCAAACCACTGAAAATCATGTGTTTGCACTGATAATTAATTCCCTGACTACTATAGCAGAGTGAATCTATAAAAAAAAAAAAATCTGCTCACACTTCTCCCCTACCACATCACATTTCAAATCTATAAAGTTGTAGCAGAGCTATTTCAAAGCAGAAACCCAAAGACAATGCCAAAGAGCTGCTGCTTCCTACAAGTCTTCTGCCTACTCACGATGGACCAATTTATGAAGCTGACAAAACTCACCATTAAAACATGAAGACCATGAAAGTGTAATGTGTAATACCCAGCTAAACAAAATGACTCTTTTATCTCTGACTATTTGGTTTAACAACTGTAGCAAGGGTGTACACAAATTTTCAGAAATACACTTACTGCTTATGCCTCTCCACTAAGGGCTGGTACCTTGGCCATACCCTGGCAGAACTGAGGTGGCATCCAGAACCTGTGATATCTTGAGAACTGAATGTTCAGCTTCTCAGGTGATAAACTGTCCATTAATGTAGTGATAGAAATGGAGTGTCATATTTAATGAGAAAACAATTCCTAGGACACTTACCTGTTACCTTTCCAGTGTGTGAAAACTGGTTCCTTTGTATTGTTTTGTTGTCTGTGCTCTTGCCAAGTGTGTAAGATGGCACCAAGTGACTCCAAACAAACTTGAACTGAAGTACACAGGGAGAGGATTAATCAGTCAGGCACTTAAGCATAAGCTTCATGTTAAGCATGCAACATAATGTTGTTAAAGTGAACTTAGTGGTATTATTTGTATGTTTAAAGTTAACCACTGAACTTATCTGTTGTGCTACATCAGTGCCTAATAGCTTGTGCACTTACTTGCAAATTTAAGATACTTAATGTGTTTATTCTGGACTCTTCCTGTTGTTGTGCATCTGAAATTGTTACCCTCAACCAAGCAGGGTAGCACTGTACAGCAGCAGTGCAGGCCAGCTCTTCCTCAGCCAGGGTTGTGGACAGGGAATGCACAAAGCAGCTCTCCAGTAGCTCTCCAGCAGCAGATCAGGTTCTTCAGAGCCCTCAAGCAAAAGTACCTAGTTCTGGCATTAGCCTCAAGGGCAGCAGGGTTAGGCCACTGCTGAAGGCTTTTGAAAGTTTTTGCTCACTGGATTGGGAATAGGGAGAGGAACACTGTGGTTTCCCTGCTGCTGTCGGAGACAGAAGAGCTGAGCTCTGGTCTTTCTTCACTCGTGGATGTTCTCCATTTGTGCAAGTCCTCTCACCTCATCCCTAGTTTGAGGAGGACATATTTTGCTGTCACAACTCCTCTTTGTGCATGCAAAGGCAATGGACTCCAAAACCTAGAAACATGAAACCTCTGTGTAACAGTGGCATGTGAGCTGGACCACCCCACCTGGCTCCTACTTGATTTGTATGGAAGGATGGTCTGGGGAGATTTAGGCAATAAACCAATTTTCCCACCCACTAATAACCAAAAAATAAATGTTCCTGAGTGATATACTCAGCACCTTCTATTCTCACTGAAGTAAACAGTTCCTTTGGGACTACTTTCATGTGTCTTTAGGGAATGTAACCAAATTATACCACATGAGAGCTGGTGATTTTAATGTTATGCTGTAAGGGGAAAACTATAAACATAACAGGAAAGACTGGATGTTTTCCATTCATAATTTTAGAAAGGTTTCTTCTCATCTGTACATATTAGCTTTTCAACATCTCTGGCAAGATTTAAATGAATTATTTAACTGGAATTGAAAAGCAGGTCTTACTTTTAAATTAACGTGATAAAAGCTATTGTATTTCTTTAATTTTTAAAAGATTACTATAGAAGATAAAGATCAAAACCAGACCCAAGAGGCGATAAGGCCAAGAAAATACCCAGCCTCTAACCTCCTGGCAGGAGCTGGAATAATTTGGAGAAATGACTGGCTATGATCTGAAGCATGGTCAGTAGAGTTTGGAGAACTCAGAGGTTTTAATCGGAAGCATTTCCATGTTGTGCCAGTCTTTTGTGACTGGGAGTACAGGGTGTGTGGAGCTGGGAGTGGTGCAGGGCTCAAGGAGCTTCTGCTGCAAGAACTGTGCCAAGTTTTGTGCAAAACATGGCGAAAAGTTGAGGATAGGCCTTGTGTAGAAAGATTAGCTTGACATTTCGGTTTCTTCTCCTCTGTCAGTGGGAAATGTGTAAGATAGGGTGAGCCCAGCAGGAGATTTCTGGTTCAGAAACCAAAACTGGCCTGGGAGAAGCACTCGGGCAGTCAGGTGAGCTCTGCTCATAGGGTCAAGATTTGGGGTTGAAACCAGGGATGTTTTTACAAGCTAATGACCCCCTCAAGGGCAGCAAACATGGTCTGTGTCATATGAGAGGTGGTAGCACCCACTCCCTGCTCCACACAGCTGAAAACTCCTGTTTCCTTGGATGAGGGATCTACTTGCTGAAAAAGTCAATCATCTGAATTATAGAGCAGGAGAGTTTCTATCCCCACATCCACCCTCCCCAAAAAAACCTCTCCCCAGTATTTCCATGCTTCCCCTTTTGCCATTAAGATGAGATTTTCTCCTGCAACTGAACAGTAAGTGCTTCATAAACAGTTCCTCCGTCTGCAAGTGGACCTTGAAAATTGATTATTTTTTGTTTGTTTCTTTTAGTCTCCAAATGTTTCTGCTATTATAAGGCAGGCAGTTATTTTGCTAGGAAGGAATGTGAAGAAATAGAAAAGTTGAAAGCGATTAGGACTCTGTCTTTTAAGACAGAGCCTTTCACAAAGCCTGGCATTCAGCCCGCTCAAGAGTGAGCATCATAAGACACCCTGAAGCCTTGAAATCCTTCAGTTTTAAACCCCATGGGGTGGCTTTTGCATTATCAGGGAAGAGATGATATTGCAGAGACTATTTTCTTCATATTTTAAAGGCCTCTGAGTTAATATTTATTCTAAGTAGATGTTTATTTTTGGATACTTTTATTGTTTATAGGAAGGCCACAAAGAGTTCAATGTTATGGAGAAATGGTTACTTTGTATTTATGGTTGAAGAAAAATAAGAAGAAAAAAAAGAAGGTTCCAAACAATCCTACCCCAGTTCTTTATTTCAGGAGACAATGTTCTTTCCACCCATGCACAGGCAGTGCTTTACAGGCTGTGTAATAAAACGCTGTTCCAGATATTGTCTAAATAGAAACAGATTTAACCCTGCTGTTGTGACTTGCATTGCTGGGTAATGAAAGTTTTCAATCTGGTTTTACTTTGTTTTATGCTCGCTGGAGAACTGCACATCCAAAAAATCCTACCTTCTGCACAGAGACCTGTTGTTCCAATGCCATCTGTTTGTGTATAAAAGGTGAACATCCCCAGAAAGAAACAAACAAAAAAGCCTAGGATTTCACCTTTTCTGGTAGGCAATGAATTGCAATTCAGCCCTCAAAGTGACATTTCCTGCAAAGACTGCAGGTTATGGAACAGAACCCAGTGGTTTCAAACGAGACTCGAAGGTGCTTATGACAAGGAGGTGGTGGTGTCTATCACTTCCTGACAAGAGGTCAGAAACCCAAAAATTTCTAACCCTAAAATGCTTTGATAAAGAGTCAAATCATTTACCTATGCAGTCATTCACTGATGGCATGCTCAAAACTGCTGAAAAGACTCTTTAATTTAAGTTGGCTTTGAAAATTACCAATTGCTGTGTTACCTAAAGCAACCTCCAAGTGTTTCTCCATAGGGGAAAAGCCCTGTGATAAGAGATAGTCCCTGAAGATCTGAGAACAAAAGATGGGCTGCAGCATCTGCATATCAGGAAACGGTCCATTACTCATTAATTGCTCCATTTCCGTGCACCAACGGGGGTCACCCTGTCACTGAGGACCAGAAAGATTATAACAATAATGTAAATACTGCTTTATTTACCATTTTACAAGAAAACAACTTTCCATGTTTGTTATTATATAGAGACTGCATTTTTTTTCAAGTTTCCACAAATAAAACACTCTCAGAGGACAGTAGGAAGTTTGTAATTTGAAGCATTTTGCTGTGGGACTAAAGGCGTATTTTCATATGTCACAGAGCCCTGTCCAGCTGTTGGGACATGAACTAGGGACTAGGAGGAACCACATTCTCCTCTTTGCTCTCCTACAGATTTCCTGTGTGACCTTGAACAAGTTACTGAGTTTCACTGCCTGTGTGTACAGGCAGTACCCTGTTATGCTTCCTTTTATAATCTGTGATACTCCCTTTTATACCCTCAGGTATTTTATATCCAGAAATGTGACCCTAGTTCAGGTTCCCTTAGCTCTTGTGTCAGCTGCCTATTGACTGTGGTCTATGAAATTCCCTGCTCCAAAGCAGTCTGGACCCCAGACTGGTGCTAGGGGAGGATGGAGAGAGGGTAGCAGTGCCTTACCTGGCAGGGAGTGCCTGGGGCTTGCTGGGCCTGGGGTCACTGTGGTTTTCCCATCTGCAGATCAGAGGTAACAGGATTCACCTACTGCATGAGGAGCTGTGTGGGGCTACACACAAGTGACACTAAGGGCAGGCATTATTATCATAATGTGTGTCTTACAAGTGCTTGAGGGAGGCGCTGTGACAACTTCCCCTAGAATTTGTGTCCACTTGAACTGCTCTGTCTCTGTAATCACAGAGCAAGAATGGGCAGGTATGACTCTGATTCTTATCGTGGAGGATTTAAACACAGCAATCACCCCAGCCCACCTCTTAGTATTCATCTTACTTATTAAAGCTTCCCAACAAGTCTCTGCAGTGATGTTATCTGCTAAATTGTGTGAGGTTTCTGATCATTAAGTGGATTGGTCTTCAAAGAGCTAAATGAAAATGAGCAATAAATATCAGTGTTACTTAGGTCATATGGTGCAAAATGACAAGGAGACCGAAAGACCTTCTGGCAACTGTAGAACAAACAAATATGCAATAGATTCACTAAAGCTTTTTGTGGGTTTTTATAAAGTTTCTCATTCTTTTAATTAATTTTTTTTTTAAAGCAAGTTAAAACGGAGAAGCAGGCATGGTCTTAAGAAGCAGGAACTCCTGAATCCCTCAGGCTGTTTTGTTCCATTGCTGTGACCTGAAGTGATGTACTTTTACTCCTGCACTAACTTTCCTCTTTGCAGAAGGGACATTGTAATATTTATGTATGCTCTGGGGAAGGTATCATTATTATGGCAATTTCTCCAGTGCTTTGCACATAGACAGATGTATTTAAGAAGGTGAGCCTCCCGCTGGTGGGTGTAAACAGGAGCCTGAAGTTCTGCACCTGCAATTGTGTTTCCTGTATAAAACTGAGCACTTGTACCAGTAGCAACCTGACTGCAGAGATAAATGAGGCAGCAGCAGTTGCACTGACTCCTGCTTGTATCTGTGTTTTCATTCATTTGGAAAAATAACCAGCCCCAACTGTTACCAGGGCAGATTGTATCCTCAACCAAATACTGTGAAAATCTTCCACTGCAAGTAATATTAAACGATTGCATGATTTCTTAGATAGCATTTTAAGAACTTAATTTTAGTCAGTGAAAAAGTCATGAAAAAAAATCAAAATGCTGCAACTTCTTACGTCTTGATTACTCTTTTTAGTCTCTTCCCTTTGTATAAAATTATGACAACAGCCTCTGTGAATGGTGGTTTTCTCCTTGCATAAGCAGCCTAACCCTGTGAATATTGCTCTGCTGAAGACACGTGGTCCTCCTTTATAATGTGGCAAGGGAGCAGCTCTTGCTTTTGCAGCAAGAGCTCTGAGAGCCTTGATTGTCCTTTGATTGTCCATGTACACTCCAGCAAACCAGGGACAGACTCCTCACCCCACTACAAACCCACTCATCCAGTTCTCAAAGGTTTTGCTCTAGCCAGGTGAAAGATTTTCCCTGCCCCTTCACCAGCTTTTCTCCTTCTCAAGAAGCAGTAGTTGAGAGGGAGAATTTATCTTTTAATAAAAATAACAAAACTTGACTGCACTCATTTCTTTGTCTCTTTTGATGTCTTAGCTGTTGGCATCTCTTCTGTGGTGACTGAAGCACTCTTGAGTTAGAAGTGGGACCAAAAAGAAAGAGGAGATTCAATTCAAATAGGGTTGGAAGACTGTGGCAGAGAGAAATGGAAGAAATTCAGGGTTTAAACAGAGCAGAGAGAAGGCTATAGCCTAAAATCCCACAGCCTGAAGGTAACAGTCATTTCCTTTTTCTGTGAAGACTGTTGGGGTTTCTTTAAAGGAAGTGGGGGGTGGGGAGAGGACAGTTCCTGGTATTTTCCTCAGCTTAGAAAGCAGACAAAAGTCATCAGGCTTCCTACGTGACTGAAAAGGAGTGTTACAGAAAGTATAAGCTCTACTGTATGGCATTGTGTGCCACAGGGTCAGGTACCACAATGGTGGCTGTCAAGCAGACAAGAAACCTTTTCTCATATTACACGTCACAGTGCTGTTCCCTGTGTATAAGGAAAAAACTCTACTTGGATTATAAAATGATTCAGGGAAGGGTTGGAAGTACCTTGACTGCATTCCTCCTTTCCACCTGGGAGCGTGCAGTCCTCTGCAGCAGGAGACCTTCCTAAAACATCTGGGCAATGGGCCACATCTGCTGTCTGGTGACATGGACTAAATATATCCAAAACCTTTCTCCACCTTGGTAAAATCCTAATTCACAAAAAGTTCCAGCAACAAAAGAGTCAATGTGAGATTGGTGGAGAACACCCATTAATTGGTTTCAGAAGATCTTCAAACAGGGCTCAGAAACAAATCAAAGCAGTGCAAGGTAACTGTAAAATTTATTGTTCAAAATTAAATTATGGGATACTTGTTAAACATAATATTTTAAGCTTCCGTGGAAGCATCATAAGGCTTCTAAATTATTACTGTGATCAAACATGATATAAAATACTCTGGCTTCCATTCTGCAGAGAGAAAAATCAGGCACAATGCAGAGGGATGAAGGCTTGAACGTGTTTCCTAGGTGTGGACATAAGGACACACATCACCTGGATGTGCTTGATGTCTGTCTCCTGTCTCCCTTTTCCTGGTAAACATGAAAAAATATCCATCTGCACAGAGAGAGGGTGGCCAACTACAGAAGTTTTGGTGGCTCTTATGGAATCAGATCTCTAGTAACTTGGACAAGGACACAGAACCGAGTGGCAGCATTAGGATGAATGCCAATGGGTTCTGCTCCCATCTTTCAGTTAATAGGTATTCAGCTGAGGAGGCCAGTTCTGTACAGGGAAAAATTCATTATATAAATACGTACTGAGGTGAAGCAACCCAGAATGAAGATTAGAGGGAAGAAAATTCTGGTCTTGGGTCTCAGCTCCTAAAATATGAAATTCTAAAGCTGAAATGGTTTGACTTGTGCTGGAGGCTGATGTGCAGGGCCCGTGTTTTTAATGATGTCATTTTACGTTTGTTGCATCAGTTAGGATTTACATAGCCTTCGATGAAATCTGGGCCATAAATGTTGATTTTAAACAAAGACATTTCCATAGGATCTTTATTGTCTGTGTAGTGGTAAAGTGCTATGAATAATTTTCCCCAGGTGCTTAAACAGGTGGTGTCTTCAAGGGAAGCAGGGCTTCTTTCATGTTCCCTATAATTTGTGCTGTCTTAAGCCTTCGTTGTCAATGTCTTGGGTGAACATTTATGTTCCTTCCCCACAAAGATGCTGGATACCCAGCTCCACGATTGGAATATAAGTGTTACAGTTATTTATTTACAGGGAAGGAAATAACACAGTGGCTCTATTTGCTACTCCTAAATTTATTTTCTCTTCTTTTGTGCAGTGTAAAAATGTTAGTCATCTCCAATGGCCCTTGGAAATAAGCTTTCCAAATATATTCTCATGCTCTATATAGATGCACTGATGACACTCCAGCAGTTCAGCAAGAGGAAATCTGAAATAGTGGCACTAAATGACAAGGAAAAAAAATCACTAGGGAGAAAACTCTCCATAAAAGTCTGAGGATGATTATGGAGCGTTGGGAAATGTTGCCAGTGCTGGACTACATACTCATCGAGCCTTCATTTCTCAGACATCATTGATTAAAGGTGGATGGAAAAGTGCCATTCAAAAGAGCAGACCCGTGAGCTTCAGCTTCTGTTTCCATCTGCTTTTGGGTTGTAAGCGCAAAACCATGTAACAAAATTGGGATTTTTAATCTTGTATTTAGGGCTCAAGCAAAAAGTGTCTGGACTGAGGAGGGGCTGTGTCGTCAGCATTAGCACATGATGCTAGTGATGCTGTGCCACCTTCATTAGGAACTTCATTCAGAAACGGGAAGCAAACCATGGCAGCCAGGTTTGAAAATGGGGATTGATATGATTGCAAGTTTCCATTTCCTCATTCAGTTTTTTACAAAACCATAATACTTGCTTTCCTAAGAAACGTGTGTCATGGACTTGGATTTATCAGCATTTTTAAAAGCAATGGATGTATATGCTTGCTGAGATCCATCAATTACGAGGGCCTATATAAGCTGTTTAAACGTTTCCATGTGGTTTTGGGGTCTCCCTCAGTGATGTTCCATGTCCATTATGTCCATACTCATTTATTCTGACACACAGAGAATCCTCCATGACTGATGACACTGCAAAAGTGAGTGATTGACCTTTCCCTCGTGTATGTGCAGAGGTTATCCATCTGCACAGAAGGAGAGGGGAACTGCACATAGGTTTTGTGGGGAGAGGGACCTGAAAGAGTTTGTACTGGATGATTCAAACACTGGTTGTTCAGCCAAAGAGCTCAAAGAAATAAGAGGCAGAAATATGGTAGTATATGAAAATATCATAAAATAAACAGAATCACACAGAATCACAGAATATGCTGAGTTAGAAGGGACCCACAAGGATCACTGAGTCCAACTCCTGACCATGCACAGGACCATCACCTCTCCTT